GGGGGGGGGGGGGGGGGGGGGGGGGGGGGGGGGGGGGGGGAGGGGGAGTGATTTTTTTTTCTTTCAGAAATGTTGCCAGAACAGAAAAGCTGCCAGTTAAGGGGGATCCTGGGCAACACTTCAGCACTACCTACCATCCTATCACCTTCCTGCTCCTTCCCCATGTCTACATACTTCTGCCCTCAGATGGATGGGAATAACCCTCCCGAAGATACCTTCATCTTTTCAAATTTTCAGAAGAAGAGGATCCAGCCAAGTTCAGGACTCACTTCTCAGGACTGAGAAACGGAGCACAAATCAGACACTGCCTGTCCTACATCCCACCCCACGCCGTACTCATGAGACAACTCTCTTCCTGCTGTAGTGGGAGATCATTACCCCTCACATGGACCTGGTTCTCCAAGACCCAAAGATGCAAGCTCCATGGTTAAACTTAACTCCCCTGAATTTCAGTCACCATCACTAAGCTGCTGTCTGCAGCCTACAGATGAGATGCTAAGGAGACATCCCTGACACACTGTCATAGCCAAATGAAAACCACTGCCGAGAGATGACATTGGCTTTTTACCCATTAAATGTCACCTGTTCTTTTGGATAATTTGCATCCTGTTAGATCTACCCTTTTAATGAATCACTTCTGCTCCTGAAAGACAGAAAAGATAAGGTTTGGAGGCTTTTTTTAATAGCTCGTTTTCTTCTGACATGCTTTGTAACTATGTCCATTTGTAGGTTTGCTTTGTTGTACGACATCTAGACTTTCACATGTCCAGATCTCCCAATGGCACCTTGCAGTCCCCAGCTTGTATAAACTTACCTAGCCACACCAACTTAGGAGAGACCTGCCCATCAGTATTTGCGGACATCTTGCCTGTTATTGCCCTTCAGAAAGAAACCAACACTAGATTCGTAAGCAATTTCATCATGATATATTTTGGCATTTACATCTTGCTTACTTTCACCAGGCAACAGCTCCCCATCTTGACAGCTGGGCATCCCGTGATGAATCCAAAGGCCAAATACTCCTGACAGAATTGAGAAACACAACTGACAAGTGAATAAAGCTGGCAGTTCTGTGGCCCAGGCTCTCAAACTACCATGCTGCCTGTTCTCCTGAACCACACCTTTGGCACATGTAGTGTGCAAGGAGGCTGCAATATACCTCAAATGCCATGGTGCGTTTATCTCCTGCAGCCAACCTTTCTTTGGTCTACTGGGGCCTTATAAAATCATTTGAGTTTGGGAAAATAGATTTCATTACAAGCTACCTCCAAACCCAAGGAAGACAGTAAAATTACTGGTGATTGAATTGCCTCTTCTGTCCACTAAGATCTATTGCAGGGAAAAAATAAAAAAATAAAAAAAAAAAAAAGTAGTTTAGTCTTGGCATATATTTTATAGTAACGGTATAACAACCAAACTCAAGCAATATATCTTTTCCAGTAAACCCAGTCTGCTACAGTCAAAGCATCCAAGACTCCATCTCTGTGCTAAAAAATCCTGTGTGGAGTCAGCATCACGCCAGGTCTGTATTTCCCTCTTTCACTGCACCTAGGCTCAATTTTCATGTCCTTGGATGCTCTTTGCACGTCCTATGCTAACTCGCCAGTCTCATGCCTCCATGTAGCATATGGGTACTACAGGGAGGGATACAAGGGGGCTCGAGGCACTGTGCCTCGCAGTATAATTTCCTGAGCCTTCAGAGCTTGGTGGGGACATTCCTAAATGGATCTTATCTCAGACTGATCCCCTCTAGCCCCACAGCATGGCACAGCACAATGACGGCAATGTCAGGAGAAGGCAGTGCTGCACTGAGATCTGCTTCCAGACACCCTTTTCAGCTCGGATGTACTGGAATGACATTTATCTCTGTGGCGGGCGGAGGAAGCAAGCAGCCGATTCAATGTGAATGATAGAGCAAGCTTCAACTTTATTGAAAGAAATCACACCTTATATAAGCAGTCTACAATACACTACTTGCAACTCTATTGGATACATTTAAGAAAACTGCATTATAATATCTCAGCCATTGGGTACATTCAAAAGATCACATTATAATACACCAGCCCCTTGTGGCATTTCTGGTATGCATAAACATCTTTCTTGCTGTAAACCTGCTTCTCTCCCAGGGCTGCTTCCCTTCACCCCCCAAGGTCGTAATGCGCCCCAACTTATCTCCTTGTTCTCACAACAGTCCTTGTTATCATCAATGTATGCTGGGTTTTTTCCTTTGTTTACCTCAGGTGGCTGGGACCAACTTCTGCAGGGAGCTATGGCCGACCAGCTCCTGCAGGAAGCTATGGCCTTGCTCTCTGCAAGCCGTTCTCCAACAATCTCTGTGAATGTCATGAAGCAGAAACTGGTTATCCTGCCTTAACAACGAGTCAACAGGAAGAGGCTTTATTTATACTATTATTACTTTTTATTACCATGCTATGCAGCTAAGAGCTGGGTATGGACATGCAGAGGGAGGAGAGGCATGAAGCCAGACTGTATAACAGGGAGTGCTTTGGTGGTTTCCTCCCTCCATGAAAAGTGGTCAAATATGCAGCCATGCTTCTGGTAGAAACCATGGCAAGGGAGAGCTCCAAACGGGAACAGCAGAAGGATGCTGAATTGGCCCCATGGCTTCACTTAAGAGCTCTTCCCTGGAGGGAAATGCACAACAGAAAACATCCAAGCCTTTAGATAAATGAGTAACAGGCAGGGAAAGTCATCATGAAGTGACCAGATGCAAGAGCTGAGGAGAAAGGTTAGGACTGGAGACGGGCTGAAAAATGCACTGAAGGTGAAGGCAGACAGGTTATGCTTGATGCCACAGAGAAGGAAATCCAGAGAAAAGCTGCAAGGAAACGTGATATGAGCAGCATGATGGACTAGGAAATGGTGGCATCTGCAGCTGACTTGTGAATGGGCAAGAGCCTGAATACAGTGAGGCCAGAAAACACAAGTTTAAATTGTTTAGATAGAGAATAAAGGATACAGAGGTCACTTGATGGATCTATAAGCTTAGACAGATCTCTCACTCCCTTCTACTCCACTAATCATCCTCCTCCTCCTCCTCCTCCTCTCACATGCAAGCATGTCTTTTTAAATACTCTTTTAAGAGTGTTTAAAAAGAAATCTGAATGAAAGTCAGGGCAACTTACTTAGAATAAAATGCTACTTATATTCAATGATTTAAATCATCTGTTCGAAATTTCAAAGTGGCTTTCAAAAGTTTATCATGAAATGAAAGAGATGGCAGATGCCCTCAGCTGACAAGGGAAATCATATCAGCTTCCCATCCCCATACACATGCAGTCCAGTTGTTCAGAATTTTTCTGTGTGTAGTTTGAAATAAAACGTTTGCAATGCTTCCCATTTCTTTATTGCAAATCAGGGCAGAAATATTTGCTCAAGCTCAGAAACTCTTAAAATCCATATCAAGGAGGACTCGGCGTGCTGTATCACTCAATAGGAGAGTTGGAGAGTTCATTGCAAAAAGATTACTGAGATTTTACTGAATATTTATTTCGGTGGCAACAACTAGACCTGGAGATCCCAGAGGAAAACTGTGCAGTGATACACAAGTTCCTGCCTACATGTTTCCACAGGGAAAAGAAGCAGCCTCCTTAGATAGCATCCTAGAAACCTGCTTAAATAGCCTTGCCAGGCTTTGGTGGAAGCTCCTCTTGAACCCTCATGTTTCACAAGAGAAAAGTAAAGACTGGCCTTTTGAGCCCTGTTTTCCTGGAGAAGAAGTTGAAGCAGCTCAGGTGCACCAAGTCAGACTGCTGGTCTTTGCTGCACTCTTGACCTCAGCTCCTACAACAAGACCTCCGGGACCAAGCAACTCACCACAAATTACCAGCCAACTGAACAAGTTTCCCTGCAGCTGCATCACCCTCTCCCATTCAGCTAACTGGGAAATCAGGGACTGTCTTCTGAGACCAGAAGGAGCAGGATGGGCTGTCAACAATACAACTCATGTCAGGCATTTTATTCAGGACCACCAGAACACCATGTGCTTGCAGCCTCCCAGAGCATGGGTGTCTTTGGCCGACACTGGTATGGAACCACTTCAGAAGGCACTCAGGATCAGGAGGTTGCAAGCTGGATACTTACAGATTCGAGCACTCTCCAGGAAATCTGGGAGTGATAAAGCTCTAGAAGTAAAAGGAACATCGGAAGACAACGAGACAAGAAACAAGGAGATGGCTTAAGGGAATTTAGAGCAGGCTGTAAAGAAGCAAGGGAGAAGCCAAATACACTACAAGGAAAGGATGATGCAGAAGATGAGAGCGGTCAACTTGCCAAAATGATGGAAAGCCACACAACCCCCCAGCCTGGGCCTATCAATTATGGCCTTCAGAGGCATTTTCTGCCTTGAGATACATGACCAGCACTGACTCACAGTGTAGTTTCATTGTTAAAAGCCACTCTCGGCTCTCTGGAGGCCCTTGCTGCCTGGTGCCTGTAGCCAGGCCACTGCCAGTGCAGGCAAGGCAGATTTCTGGGCATTGCTCCCCACACCCAGGAGTCCAGGCAGGTACCCTGCTGCAAGTTTATGCCCTCTGGGATACCACAAGCACAGACACAGCAAAGAGGTGTTTTCTAGCACACTGATGTCAACCCCTGAACACCAAATCTCATCTCAGAAAGTCTAAAACAGGCAATTTTGACTGACAGGCAGCTTCACTGATAAATAACAAACACATGTGAGGCTTGGGAAAAATGGAGGTTCATTCTTCACCACCCACTCGAGCCTGATAACCCATGGCCAAGGCAGTCCTGACGACCCCAAACACCCTTTGCTCCCAGCAGTGCCCTGGGACAGCAAGTCCCAGGAGCACATTTTACACTGCAGACAAACATTTTGGTCACCAAGACTCTTGGGAGATGAGCTAAGACCTTCAGCAAAAGCCACCCAGAACATCGCTGAGGGTGGTGAGGAGCAGCCTGAAGACAGAAAAGCAATTTTACAACACACAGGGAAGAGCAGTAACTATACAGCAGAGCACTTCTGTATTTGAATGACTACAGAGCCTCTATCTGGAATACACATTTTGCTGTTAGCTGCATTTTTATGGATCAGACAACCTCAGGCTACCATGCAGTACAGGTCAGTGTGATTTGGAGGAATCTGTGAAACTGGTGAGAAAACCTTGAGACAGAGTACGGTGTTGCTGGACATCGCCAAGAGCCAACAAAATTAGAATATAACCACCTCTCCTGGGATTATCATCTCTATGTTTGTGTACTTAAATATGCCAAGAATTTCCCTTAAAGCTGATCTTGCTTTTCCACCAGAGCTGGCCAATGGCTGAGGACTTACTAGCTTCAAAACTAATTCCTTTTGGAAAAAATCAACAGCTCACACATTGCCTCCCCTTTACACGGCATACAAATCACAAGGTGCAGCTGCACAAGTTTATTTTTTACTGGGAATAGCAGAAATGCTGATGCAGATGTTTTCCACTTGAGGAAGCACGAACAGAGCAAATTGACTGTTTGCCCATTGGCTGGTACTTGGCAGCGACAAATATTTTGAAGCGTCATCTGGATAACGGAGCAGCTGAAGCCCAAAAACTTAATGGGAACAAAGCAGAGCCATAGGAACAAAGAGAAACTGAGGCACATTTTAACTAGGAAAGAGGATACCTACAGCAAAGAGTGCCCAGAATCAGTGTGGACCCCATGAATGGTGTCCCTTGCACAGGGGCACCCACGCTGCTCTTTCCAGTACTCCCAAGTTAAACCAGGCCAGGAATGGCGCAGGACTCTCCAGGAATAACTGAGGGACCACCCTGAAACTGTCTTTGCCAAAGGGTCTTCCATTTTCAATCACGTCCCTGTCAAAACCTGTTATCTCAGAATATACTCTAACTTCTCTTGCTGTTCCCCCACCTGCAACATGCCCTGACAGCTTTTTTTGTCCCCTTGTTTGTTTTCCAACAAGACTGGTAGATTTGGAGGGGGATTAATTCACGTGCTCTCATGTATGCTTCCATCTGCCCATCCTGCCCTCCTTTCACGTCTTATTCTTCATTACAGAACAGTATCTTTAATTATATCTTTCTTTTTTCAGAACTTTCTCTGCTTTCCAGCACACTTACTCTTACATGTCAAGAGAAACCCTTGTGTGTACAATGCTCTCTCCCAGAGCACTTTCCCACTCAGCTCCTTTCCTCCCTCCTGTCTTTTCCCACCAGCTGTTCTTGGAATGTGCCTCATTCAAGCAAACATTTCCCCTGCTGAAATTCAAATGGTCTCAATTTTCCTCTTTATAGTGCCACAACAATGCTGACATTTTTCAACTTCTCCCTTCTCCACTTTTCTAGGAAATCTCAAAATGATCACAATTTTTTCAAGTAAAGGTGGAGACCTCCCAGAGAATATTACTCTGGATGTGCTGTGGTTCTCCAAAGGGAAAGCAGAGAGCCACGCTGCTTAGACAAAATTGAGCAGAACTGCATTAAGCTTAGCAGGAGCCTAAAGTGGCACCAAAAGGCCTCCCACTGCTTCTGCTAAATCAGTGCGTTTCCCCTGCTGCTTCAAAACACCCTTCCTGGAGTGCTAATGCCACTAACCATAACCTCCTCCAGCATGAAGTGGAGAAAGCTCAAGCCCTGGGCTTTGACAGCAAGCTGCACAGAAGCAGCTGAACAGGGTGTGAGAGGCAGAGGTGCCCTGCCAGAAACCGCGACTAACCAGAGAGCCACCAGCACATGGTGCACACTCGAGGTAAAGCAAGAAAGAAGGTAACAATTGTACAGCCCTCAACATCCCCATCAATCCAGGACTTTCAAGGGGAAGGACGCTGACTAAAAAAGCTCCTTTGCATTAGATACCACCAATGTGTGGCCAAATCAGGGGGACGATTCCTAGCATGGGAAGACTTCCACCGTCTTGCAAAATAAAGGTGGTGAGACATGTTATTCTGGATATGTTGTGCTGCAGCAGATAACTTGTTATGCTGTAAACCACAGGAATTACACTGCTCTCCCAGCACAGTGTTAAACCTCTGCATCCCAGCACTTACCTTGTCAGTGTTCCTCAGAATCAGTGGCACTTCGTAGACCTCAAAGGGGACGTAGTTCTGAAATACCACCTCTGAAGGAAAAGGCTGAAGCAAGCTCTGGTCCAGGTCAACTGCTGAGAACTGGAGAGGCAAGACAGAGCGGTGAGAGGAGGGTCAGCTGCTGGCAGAAAGATTCATGACAGAATCCTACACCGATCTCCAGTGGAGTACAGTCTCTTGGTGAGTACATCCGCACAGCTCACGCTAGGGAAACAACCCCCTACCTGTGTTCTGAGCTGATCAAAAGTTTCTGGACCACACTAAGCAGGCTCAAGCTAAGAAGCTCTTTTAGTAGGTGTTCCTCCAGGTTTCCTTCTCCAGAATGCAAGGCAGCGCTTACTGCCAGCAGAGCCCTGTGCTGATGTGGTCACACAGCTCCAGAGCCCTTCCTGAAGAGCCACCAGCACTCATGGAGCAAGCGAAACCCAAGATTTTACATGAGATATCTGTGTATCTGGCAGCCTGCAAAATCTCACACCCTGTAAAGGTCCCACACATTGTTCCAACCCAAAACATAAATGCACTTGGTTTTGTTAAATCTTTTTAACAAAGCAAAACAAGTAATTACCATAGGCCCTCAGCCTTCAAAGGCCAATGCTGCCACCGTTGAAGGAGTCCCATGACCCCAAGCATTTGGCAGTGACTACACCAAAGCACAAGGTGGCTATTTCACCAGGAGAATGGATAATGGGAAGCTCGAGCCCTTGCGGCCTGCCCCTGCCTTCCCCCAGTATCAGCTAAACTCCAGCAAAACCCGCCAACTTCAGCAGAGGTTATTTATATTGACCTAGCGCAGATCAGGACTTCCAACCTCTCACCAGGGAAAAAATGTTCTACCTTTCCCCAGCAGAAGGAACTCCACCACCACCAGCAGTTTGAAAAGACAACAGGCCCTGGGCACTGAGCTATTCAGATGAGCCAGAGGCACGCCTGTCACAAACACACACCCTCTTCAAATGTCACATCAAACAGCACGGAAAAGGGCAGGAAAAGGCTACCTTGTGATAGGAGGCTTCACCCATGTCTAGAAGCTGGGTAATCCAGGGCCGCCTCCTCTCCCGGGTGCTGGCCAGCCTCTGATGGGTGGTAAGAGACATCTCCTTCAGGAAGGCAGAGGGAGTCAGCTGAAATGCAAAACACCAGCAGAAATTATTTACTTTTTTTCTTTTCTGCAGAAAGGATTTTTGTGTTCAAGTACCACTGATCAATAATTTGTGATCACAGTCACTAGGATAGTCCTGGAAGTCCTGTAAATTACCTGCTGAAATATTTAACATCAGTAAATTAATGATATAGAGCTGAATACACACACTCCAAGGAAGTGGCTCTGTCCCTTTAGCTTCTCCTTCATGAGGTGATGTGACATGTTTGGGGTTTTCTGCTCTTTGGGTATTTGTCCCCTCTTGAGTTTTGCTGGACTGAGCCAGAGACCTTTGAAGAGAGCGGGGAGGAGTTATCAGAAATCCCCTAACTCCACCCTTGCACAGTGCTCACACCAACTCGCAGGTGGAGATGGCACTGCTGGGTGAGTCAGAGGAAAGCAGAAGAGCAGTGTTGTGCCAAGACAGAGGTGGAGAGGAATGGGTCCAAGTTTTAGTTATTTCTTTTCCATTAGCACTTGTTTCCTCTCTGCTCTGGCCTCACAGACCCCTCCACAGGAGGATACAGAGATGTCTCCTTGACAGAGCCTCAGCACTGGGTCACCTCCAGTGAAGGAGCTCCGGCCAGCAAAGGGGACAGTTGTGGGTGGCAAGGAGGAATCACCCTGAATCCCCACTGCTGTTTGCAGGGCTGCATCTGTGCTCCACACAGGACACGGGATGCCATAAAACAACTCGTTTGGAAGCTATTCTATCTGGGACAGCCGTGTCCTGTCAAGACTCCAGGCAGTTTGAGCAGCCCACCACATGCCCAGCAGCCCAGCGGTGTGGCCAGGGCAGCACTGGCAGGTATGTCCCCGTGACAGAAGATGTTACTGCCCACACAGCAAAGAGGACGGAAGGAAGCACATTTGTGCTTCAGCTGTTCCCATGCAATGCCCAGTACATTCCTTTATATATTGGCTCCACTGGCACCTTCAGGCAAGACCCTGGACTTTCCCTGAAGCAACACAGCCCACCCCCCCTGCACCATGACAGCCCCCTCCAACAGAAGCACAGCAGCAAAGAGGTGGGGAGGTGGTGCCAGGCTCCATAGCGCCCTGACAACAGGAGGGGAAGGCAGAGGAGGGGCAGGGGCAGCTTCCAGCCTTAGCCCAGCTCCTACCTGGCCCCCAGCAGGTACTTACAGGCACACGCCTCTCTGCCTCTCTGACCAGCTTCGGATAACAGCATACTGCCACCTTGCTCTGGAGTCCATCAGCCATTTTGGGGGATCCCATGGACCGATGAACCTTACCAGTGGCCACAACTAGGAAAACCTGGAAGGAGTAATAGGGAGACTTTAAAAATCCAGAATCCCATTCACGGCAGACCCAAAGGATACACCTGTGTCTCCAGCCTGTGGCATCCTTCCTAAGTGGAGACCATAAGGCTGCCCCACACTGTTTTGCAGTTAGACCATATGTAAGTGGCAGAGTTAAGATTCACAGAAGTCAAACTCCATAAAATTATTCCCTGAGCCAAAACAGACTTTTGCTGTGGGTGCACTCCCACGAGCCACAACTATTTCTTTTCATGAACTTCAGCTGTCAGCTGACAGTGAGATGCACCAAGGGTCCCTTCCAGGAGCCTGCTGGAGAGTCCCCAGCTCCACATACTATCATTTACTGCTGTCTTAAGTCTTCACAGTACCATTTACCCTTCCCGGCATCCCATCTCTGCTATCCTGGCTTGGCAACTTTGCATCTCCCTTTTTATTTACTCTTTTTCTGGCATCTGGACCACATTTCAAATGATCGTTTAAGCTGGAAAAGACCTTTAAGATCATCGAGTGCAGCTGTAGACCCACCACTGCCAAGCCCACCAGCCCTTTCCCTGATCCGGGGAAAAGTACAAGGTGAGGAGGACTGTGAGCCTTCCTCCAACAGAACCACAGAGACGCCCACCAGGAGGCAATGGGCAGGTGCAAAGAGAACATCAACTGCTGATACCAGCCTCTAAAACTAACCCAGCCTCACTCATGCATATGGATGTTTGTGTTATGTAACCCAATGAATATGTATATCTACACTCCATAAATTTCGGGTAAAATGTGCTGTTGTGGTGCAAGCTTTGTGGAGAAATCCCCTTGCACCGCGGCACTGGACTGGTGCTTTATAAATCTCTCTGAGTTGTAGTCTGTTTCCACGAATCAGCAGAAATCACCCTGTTAGGCAAAGCTGTAAACCCCACGTGTTCCCCTCGGCCAGGGTGTGCTGGCAGCTCAGGCCGTGGTGATGAACCTTCCCAGCCCTCAGCCTGGCTCTGGAGCAGGAGAGTCACTCTGTCCTGTCTGCATCCAAATGATGCCAGTGTGCGTGGGCTCAGCACAGGCCCCTGGAGGCTTTGTCTGTGCAGAGGTCTGCATCTCTTTGGATAAGGGTTCTGAAGAGAGGACGGAGGGCCCCTCTGCTCCCCGAGATCCGAGGCTGCCCCTTGTCTGGGCAGGGACGGGCAGGGGAGCCGAGTGCTGGTCTCTGGCAGCACCCAGAGCCAGGAGAAGAGGAGGCTCTCCTGGCCCCACAGGGCCGTGCCCAGCTCCAGTCCCCTCGCTCTGCTGGGGTCAGGTCTCCTTCCTGGCACATGCAGAGCAGGCAGGTCGGGATGAGGAGGGCCAAGAGAAGACAAGCCCAGGAGAGGCGAGTGGAGCCCCAGACGAGGGGTGAGGGACACCCCATTTTCTGCACAGAGCTCTCTGTGCCCACAGCTCCCACGTGCAGCCAGGGGCCCACACGCCACAGGGTGCACGATGCTGCCCCACACCCTCGCACCCACCCTCAGGGGACCCTCAGCAGTCTCCTCTCTCTGCAGGCACCTCGTCGAAGCTTCGAGATCCTAGCCCGAGAGCAGCAGCCATCCCTTTGCCCTGGGCAGCCAGACTGTCCACCTTGGTACCACTGAGAGCTGCGACAGACTCCAGCAGCCACTGGAAACCTGTCCCACCTGGAACAGAGCCCCAGGGGCTGACCCTTTCTTTGACCTGATAACAATAAACACAGAGCAGGAGACCACTTGTCCACCTCTTAACAGCAGCAAACCCGGGATCTCTGGGTCCATTCTGGGCTCAACTTCACCTCAGTGCACAAGGGTCAGCGAGGGTCCCCCAACGCAGCCACGCAGCCCCCCAACCCCGCTCCTGGCCATGGAGCAGCTCTGAAGGGCAGCACTGGGGAGCCCCTGAGCAGCACCCAGGCCTTGCTGGGAAGCGTTGGCACCGCCACGGCCTGGAAACAGGTTAAACACAAAGAGGAGTCAGATTCCCTATTTCTACTTAAAACACAACCCTGAACCCCGGCAGCCTCCGCATCTCCACAGAAATGTATTCTACTGCAGAGAATGACAGTAGCACCAGCTGTAAATCCCAATTCCCTGCTTGCAGACACACGCAAACGTTTTGGCAACTGGAGCCTGAGGGCAGCGAACCGGGGTCTTGTTTCTGGAGGGTGGCTGCGGTGTTCAGATCTGCTAGGGATGAATCTCATTTTTTCACCAGCTCCTTTCCAACCTGTCCCCTTAGTAAACAAATCCTCTCCGGCTACGCAGTCCCAAATGTGCCCAGCGCTGCCTCGCTCCTCTCCACGGGGTTATTAGTTTATAATAATTCACCAGGGAGTACAAGGACAAGCCGTCCACCTGCCGGGGAGGGGTGCAGGGCCCTGCGGGGCTGAACCGCAACTGCAACCCGGCAGGGGCAGAGCAGGACGTGGGAGGATGGCAGTGGGAGCAGTGGGGAGCAGGGGGGGGTGGTGGGGACTGTTTGAGAGCATGGAGAAGG